TTGAAAAGTCCAAGTGATCCCAGACGCACCTGCTGAGGCCAGCAGACCCAGAAGTTAACTGTTCCGGGGTGAATGAGTCCTGGACCAGGCTGGGTGAGGTCTGCCTGGCAGGCTTACCAGGGTGAGGTCCGCCTGGCAGGCTTACCAGGAGGAGCCCTGCAGGTGGAGGGGAGGAGGGACCGGCAGCCTGGGATGGACAGTGTCCAGCACCCCTCCCACATCTCTCACCCTTACCCATCCCCGCTGTGCCTGCTCAGTTCTGAGAACTTCTTTGACCTACATTTTCTTTGGCCTCATTTGATCCCTTTCCTTTAAATCCTGTCCCACTTTAAAAGTTTTTTTTTTCACAATGTATTTATTTGAAAGGCAGAGTAACAGAGAGATCTTCCATCTGCTGGTTCACTCCTCCAAATGCCCATTTCATTCACAGCTAAGCCAGATGGAAGCCGAGAACCAGGAGTTCCATCTGGGTCTCCCATGTGGTTGGCAGCGGGGCCATCGTCCAATGCCCTCTGGCTTGGCAGAGACCTAAGTCGGAAGCAGAGCAACCAACGCTCAGACCCACGCTCCAATACAAGATGTCGGCACTGTGAGCAGAGACTAGACGTGTGGCATGGCAGTGCCAGCCCAGTCCTGTCCCTCGGGAAGCCTGGGCTAGCCTTGTGCCTCCGGCCACTCAGATTTGAACACCTGGACCCAGTAGTGCCCACTTGTGCCCTCTGGCCAACTGATAAACTCCATGTGCCCCTCTATCCTATGTGGCCTTGGAAATCTAGCTCTCCAAATCTTCATGGCCTGTTTTCTGACTTGGCTTTCTTTCCATTTTCCCAGCCAAGCAGGAAGGAGGCACCGACCCTGTGTGTTTGCTCACAAGTCTGGTTAGCAGGTGTCAGGCTGGGGGCCTGCCGGGCATCTCAGCTGCACACAGTAGTGGCTACAGGGATAAACCCAATCCCCGGTCCAACACAGCGACCTCTGAACAACACCAGGCCATGGGACCTGCCCCCACTGAGACAGCTCTGGCAAAATCAGGTGGCCTCTAGATTTAGCATTCTCTATGAATAAAAGAAGTCAAAACCCTACTGCATCTGAGAGCCCCATATCAAAACCTGGAAGCCGCACGAATGTCATTAGGGAAGCAGAAAGAAACACCAAGTCCCATTGGTCTCAGTACGATGTCCCCAGTATAGAGGACAGACTCACACTGAGCACAGCCCTAGGAGCTGCCAGGGTGAGCCTGGTGTGCATGAGAGAGCCCACAGGCATCTAAGGTGACCACTGGGTCCCAGCTGTGCAACACAGACCAGCTGTGCAGAACTGGCAACACCTTCATAAGAGAGCTTAGACCTGCGGAAGCGGGGGCGGATGGGGAGGTGGAACAGGTGGTACAAGAGCTCCGCGGCAGGCACAGGTGGGCAGTGGAGTGGGGCTGGCAGCCAGGAGGACGTTCCTCAGACCCGACATGCACCTGTTCATTAGCGCTTCGACCAGTTCCGGCAGAGATTGGATACTCTGAGTGTCCGTGAGTTCTGGGACTGCAGACTCGCTGGTGGGTAAGGCGGCCCCAAAACACTGTGCACATCAGCATGGTGGGCCCAGGGGTGTGAGAGGCGCCTCTCCAGCGGCCCCTGGCGGAGAGGAGCGGGGTCCCGCTTGGTTCTGTTCCGCAGGCTGCTGCGGGATTTTTATGTTGAGCACTCCGGGGCTGCAGCAGCCTGCGCCAGCGAGAGCGGACTGTGAGCATCTGGAGTTAACTTAGTAAAGGGGACAGCCACACAGCTCCCACAAGCCCTCTGAGACACACAAGCCCCCGTGTGGGTAAGGGCAGGAGCCATGGGCTGGTGTTGTGACCTGAGCAGCCATGCAGGACAGCTCGGAAGAGGAGTGGTAACCACTTTGTCAAATCCCTCAGGCAGGATCTGGGTGAAGGCTTGTTCAGACTCGTGTTCCACAAAACACTGCAAAACCCCAAATCTGCATACCCAACACCCCCAGCACCCGGGACAGCTGGCAGAACCTCCCCCAGCCTTAGCCGCTCCTTCTGACTACTCTGCCTGCCACCCCACACCTTGACCCCCTTCTCCCTGTGGTGTCCAGCTCTGCAGGCCTCCACCCACACCCTGAGCAGAGCCTGCTAGCTCAGGGTGAGTGAGCAGAGATGGTCATGGCTGGAGTGAGCAGCCCAGGACACCCGGGGGGCCCTGCACCCCTGCTTTGCACACGTGCCCCTCCAGGAGATGGCTGACTGGCCAGAGCCACCCAAGACGAGCCCCCTGCAACAGCTGGTCAGCCACCTGGGATGGACAGCTCCCCGAGAGCGGGGCCTCTTGAAGGAAACAAAGGCAGAGCAGTCAGGTGCAGAGGCCCAAGATGCTGGAGGCAGGAGGGAGCCAGGAGGAAGGTCAGGCTTCCACCTCATCCCCACCGAGGCCTGGGCTCCTGACACCTGCTGGACTCAGCAGTCTTAGACCTCCAGCGTGGGTCTAAGCTAAAGGACCCAGGGGTGTGACCCTGACCCCACACGGAGGGGTCGGGGCCTCTGCCTCATCCCCACCGAGACCTGGGCTCCTGACACCTGCTGGACTCAGCAGTCTTAGACCTCCAGCGTGGGTCTGAGCTAAAGGACCCAGGGGTATGACCCTGACCCCACATGGGTGTGGCTAACAACTGGACACCTGCACGGAGGCCATGAGTCATGCCACATGGTGTCCTGTCCCTCCCTTCATCCCCGACTGTGCCCTATGCAGGACATGGACCCCCCCCCCCCCCGCCAAGAGCGTCACCTGCCCTGCCGCCCCTCCCCCACCCGCCCATCAGGTCTGCACCCACTGCTCTCCAGCGTGCAGGCAGCATGTTAGGCCCGACCACGTCTGGCATGCTGGAGTCCAGGAGGGGAAAATGGGCAAGTCCATAGAGGAGTGGCAAAGCATGAGAGCGGGTATGTGGGGCCACAGAGGGGGACAGCCGTGCAAGGACCTGGGGTGGGGACTGGAAGTGTGGGTGGCCTTCCCGCTCAGGCCCCCTCCCGGCATCGTGCCATCATGCCAGGCAGGGTGTATTAGACGGCAGCGCTGAGGGCAGCAAGCAAGCACTGTCAAGAGAGGAGCAACTCCAGAGCTCCAGCTTCGGAGGCCAAGGCCGCGGAAGCGGTCACAGAGCACAGCCCTGTGACAGAGCCTGCCACCCGGGAGGCCTGGGATCCCAGCTGCAGCCCGTCTGTGCCCTCAGCCTCCCCTGCCCTGTCCCCACTGACCTTTTCTTCCTTCCTCTGGCAGAGACTGATGCCCTTGGCCATGATGCACTCGCAACCGCCGACCTGTCAGGTGCATCCTGCGTGACCGTGCCGTGGCCGCTCCAGCTGGTTCACGTACGTGTTAGACACGAACAGACATCACCCCCCAACACTCCACCCCTCCACACCGGGCCCTGGGTGGGGAGAAAAGATGGACAGGGAGAGAGTATCCAGAAGCCCTGGGGCCAGACCCCAGGTCCTGGAGAGCCCATCATGGGCAGCAGCTTGGTTCGTCCTCTCGGACTCAGTGTCTTGGGGAAGCTCCCCAGATGGCGGCCAGCCTGCTAGCTACACTGCAAACACAGCCGATGGTCCTGCTCACAGGCAGTGTCCTGTGACTCAACTCATGGTCTGGTGTCCCTACTGCCCTGGGGTTTTTATTCTGAGGCTGGGGGAAGGGCACTGGCTCTGGTGAGCTGCAGCCCAGCTGGCCTGGACTCCGCAGCCTAAAGACCACAGATCAACGAGGCATCTCTGGGTGTCCAGACTTGACCAGTGGGGTCCACAGTGAGGTGTCCGCTGAAGTGGTGGTTTCATCTGCGCTCCAGGGCAGGGAGTACAGAGGCCGCTGGGAAGCAGGAGTCAGGGGTCGTTTAGGGGGCCCGTGTGAAAGCCCATCCGCCCCAGCAAGGCATGGAAGCAGGAGGGAGCTGCTCAGGTGTAGAGAGCTGTGAGCGCGTGCAGGTAACTGCAAAGACAAAGCATGCCTACCTGCAGGTGGGAATTCCAAACTGGATCCTAGCACTGGCCGCTGGGAGGGCAGCGTAGAAGGTGGGGGACCCTCCCAGCCTTGGGGCCCCTCCTCTCATGGTAACTCACTTCCTCTTTCCGTTCTCTTGCAGGTCACCGTTCCCTTACTGATATGTAAGTACTCAGTCTTCCTCAAGAGGCCCAGTCTCCACCCTCCCATCTCCTCACCTCCCCACCCAGCGTGTCTGCAGTACTCACTGAGCTCAGAGGAGAGTGGGCAGAGGCCACGACAGGTCCTCCCCTCCTGCCCAGAGCTTGTGCCTCCCAGCCTGCAGGCTGACAGCCTTCCCAGAGCCAGGGGTCTACCCACCTGCTCCTCCGGCCTCACCTTGGCCTTGCTTTCCATGGGGAGGCACCCCAAAAGGAGTGTGGGTTGGGGTCAGGGCCAAACCAGGTGAAGCTTTGGAGATGTGGGCCTGGCTTGGGGGTCCACCAGTCGCTGCCTGGAGGAGAGGAGAGGGGAGAGGGGCGTTTGAGCAGAGCCGGGCTGTGTGGACACCCTGCCTGCGTTCATGTGTATAGGTGCCCCCTGCAGCAGCCACGAGGCTCTGCCCCTGCCACAAAGCAGGGTGCCACAGCGCCTGCTGTGGGCTGAACCTGTAGCCACCAGGGACTCCTGTTTTCTGTGTCTTGGAGTCACAGGAGGGTTGGTAGGGAAGAAGAGGAGAAAGTGGCCATGTGCCTTGGGAACTGAACAGCAGTGGCAAGCAGCACTGTTCTCTGCCCCTTCTCCACCGTCCAGCCTGCTCCAACCCCTGGCTTAGACTGGGCCAGATCCCAGACCAGGTCCCGAACCCTCCCTGCTCACGATGCTCCCAGACCCTGGCCTCGGGGTGATCCGCGCGGGGGCACGTGCGCGCACACACACACACACACTCCACCTGCCGCCCCCTACGCCCCGGTGTGGCTGCCGCAGCTGCGCCTCACCCTCCTCTGCCCCGGGTCTTTGCAGTTTGATGGGGCGTCGGGCGGATGACCGCGGGAACGGTTGTGATCACCGGCGGAATCCTAGCCACGGTGATCCTCCTCTGCATCATCGCGGTCCTGTGCTACTGTAGACTCCAGGTCAGTGACCTGGGCCTGAGGCCGCCTCCGCCCCGCTTCACCCGGGTCGGGGTGGAGTGGGGCACCGCCACCGCAGGCCCACGAAGCCCGGGGGCCACGGAGCTTGGAGTTTGGAGGCAGCTGTACGTCCCGCCGCCTCGCGCGCATCCTTGGGGTCACCCAGGGGGTGCGCGCGTGCAAGGAGAGATGCGGGGCAGCCGGCTGCGTTCCCGAGAAGTGGGGAGGGCATCGTTTCTGGGGCGGGGTTGGGGAGGGGGATTCTGCTGGCAGCTCCCAGCTCTGTCCTCGCTATAAGGGCCCCTCTGGTTCTGCCCCGCAACCCCAGCCCAGGGGGAGGAAGCGCGGAGCCCTCCCCAGCTCAGGGTCTACTACATGCGCGCGTGCACCCGCGGGGCGAGGGTCTGTCGGGGGGCGCGCACACATCGCAGCCCGCCGCCTCAGCCAGGCTCTCTCCCTCTTCAGTATTACTGCTGCAAGAAGAGCAGAGCGGAGGATGCCGACGACGAGGAGGAGCACGACCTGCCCGCGCCCCCGAGAGGTGCCACGTGCAACGCCTGCAGCTCGCAAGCCCTGGATGGCAGAAGCGGCCTGGCGCCCTTCGGCGGCGAGCCCTGCAGCCCGCCATGCGGGGTGGCGGCGGCGAGTCACTGCGCCACCTGCTCGCCCTACAGCTCGCCCTTCTACATACGGACGGCTGACCTGGTGCCCAACGGGGGCGGAGGCGAGCGACTCTCCTTTGCCCCTTCGTATTACAAGGAGGGAGGACCCCCAGCGCTCAAACTGGCAGCGCCCCAGAGTTATGCGGTGACCTGTCCAGGCTCCGGGCGTGAGGTCTTCACCAATCCAAGGGCTATCAGTACAGACGTGTGACCCCTCTCACCCCCCCACCACACACACACACACACACACACACACACACACACACACACACACACATACACACACTCAGCGAGAAAGCGGCGCCGCCGGGGCTGGCCCTTCTGCAGCCCCGCAGGACTCTCTACATGTTTTTGAGTTTTCTTGCTCCACAGTGGAAGGGTCGCCGTGACCCAGGGCTACCGCGTGGGCACTGGGAACCAGACGTGGGCCTGGCAGCTTGGCGTACGAGCGGCCCCTGCTCCGGGCTGCCTCTCACCACCACCATCACCGCCGCATGTTGTCACTGCCCCTCACACCCGCAGCCCGCCTCTGGCTGTGCTGGACTGGACAGGGGCTCCAGGAAGGCGAAGCAAAGACCCTGAAGGCTTCCCTTGGTTCTGGAAAGGAAGGAGGCCTAAGGGAGAGGGCATAGGTGGGGACTGTGGCATTGCAGGATTGAGAAGAAAGGAAGGTAGGGGAAGACTGGGTACTAGAGCTTTCCAGGGTTGGGGGAAAGGGAAGGCAGGTTAAAGGAACCTCCTCAGGACGCACAGGCCCGGAAGCAGTTGAGTGTTAACGCACAGCCCAGTTTTGCACCTAAGTTAGCCTGATGGCTGCGGGCGCCCTGGGCGCACACTGCAATCTGTTTCTGCCAGTTGACTAGAAGGCCTCTGAGGTCATCCGTGGGCACCGCACCAAGTAGCCACTGTGTAACCTTGTCTGGCCCACCTCGGATCCTTTCTCCGCCTTAGGACTCAGCTAGCTGCCCTCTGCTAGAGAAACTGAAGATCTCGCAACGGAGTCAGCCAGGCGAATGGAGCCCGCAGTGGTCGCTGGCACTCCCACCCCAGGCTGGCCCCAAGCAGAGGGGTGTGCACGACCCCGGGGAGTTAACCCTTCAGGCGCTGCAGCGGGTAGCGTGGCACACGGACCCACCTGAAGGAAAATTCTGACCCGTAGACAGCCTGAAGAAAGGATGACTGCAGTGGCCTGACCCACAGGCGGGGTGTGTTGGAATGGGGGTCTCGGTGAGGCGATACCCCAGCCCCTCCTGCACTCCCCCGGGGAACCGCCAGGCTGGCTGCTGAGGTCAGGAAGAGTGTGGTCATCCTGTCCCCCACTGTCCCGGTCCCTTGATGACTGTCTCTCTCCCAGGGTCCAGCATGCTTACTGAGGAATGAAAGAGCATAATCAAACTTGAGGTTAATAGACAAAACCATGGTCATGGACAGAGAGAGCAGGTGTGAGCTTGCTGCGGAGAGCCCAGGACGTAGCCGGGGACAGGTGAGGGTGGTAGTGGAAAGAAACTCTCCCCTCAGTCAGCAGGCAGCTCTCACGGACCCCACCCTCTCCTCCGGCCTGTGCAACTCCCTGGGGCCAAATGCAACTTCCAGGCCAGGCCTGGCAGCCCTCCCCACTTCCTGGCCACCAGCCCCAGTGCCTTGCTCCTTTGCAGTCCCACAGCCAGGTGACCACAGGCAGTCGCAGCCCTGCTTGCCGGAAGAGCTGTGACGTCAGACCTGCCTTCCGGGGCATCCCCATCTGCTCTCACTTGTGTGCAGTGCCATCTCTTTCTGTAGTTTTCCCATCATCCAGTCTGACAGCCAACCTGGCTCTCCGCTGGCCACCTTGCCCCCATATATCCCCTAATGCTCAGGGCCCAGGCTCCATCCATCCATCCATCCAGACTTCATAGTGGACCCAGCTGGTCCACTGTGGCCACCAGGACCTGCCCTGGGGAGGCGGGAGGGAAGCCCATTCACCAAACAGCATTGGCCTTTTTAGCTGTGGAGTCTTCTCTACCATGGGACACTATTTGTACACTTCTCAAATTGCACCCATAACAGGAGGAGGAGGAGCCAGGAGCACTCAGTCCTCCCCTGCCCCGCCCCCATCACCTCTGCTCCACTGCTCCTGTTGCCGGTTTCTGTCTTGCATCTTTGATACCTTGGAGTTGCTGCCAAGCAGATGTCAAAATAAATGAGGAGTTTGAAATAGAAACCCAACAGGGTCCTGCCTTCTTCTTCCTGTGGCGGGGCCTGGGCTGGAGGCTCCTCCCTTTTCCACATGGTTTCCCACAGCAGCTGCAGGAAGGACTTGAAGATGGCTGAGAAGAGGGATTTAACGATGGCTGGCGGCACAGAGGAGTACCCTGGCTCTGGGCCCTTCCAGGAATGTGTGGCCATGGGTCAGATCACAGAGTCCTCTGAAGGCTGTGGGACAAAGGTGTGGCTCTGCTATGTGCAGAGAACACTGGGACCAGGTCCTCTGCTCAGGACCCCAGCAAAGACTGGGAGACGAGGGCAGTGTGGACAGGGCTGGAGAAGCAGGGAGCAGCATGTAATATGGAGCTGTCAGGGGCAAAGGGAGAAGTGTGTGTGTGAGTGTGTGTGTGTGTGTGTGTGTGTTACGAAGCCCTCACCACTACTGGCTGGGCAGCTGGCACCAGGCCTCAGCTTGCCCTCAAGTCAGTGTGACCAGCTGTCAACAGCAGAGCTGTGGGCCCTGGGGCACACTGCATTAGGATATCCACCCCAACCTCATACCGAATCTCTCCCTTTGCAGAGCAGCCAACATTCACCCAGCTCGAGCCCCTCTCTCTGGCAGCCCCCTAAGGCAGGGCAGACCTTAATCTACTCGTCCTCGGGCTTGGAGATGAGTGGTAGCCTTGGCTCAGCTCTTCTGCCTCCCTCAAGCTCAGCAACAGGTTAGAAAAGGAGGAAGAGGAGGGCAGAAGCAGTCGCCAAAACCACAGGCCCATGTGGCTGACAGAGCTCTGTGGCCCCAGACACCATGTGTCCTCTTAGCCACATCACCCAATCCAGACCCCTGACCTGTTCTTGTCCCCACGCAGCGGGTTTTCTATAAGGATTTCAAAGGTTAACGCTGTGCCTGTCATGCCAGCATCCCATATGGGCACCAATTCATGTCCCAGCTGCTCCACTTCCCATCCAGCTCCCTGCTTGTGGCCTGGGAAAGCAGTGGAGGACGGCCCAAATCCTTGGGGCCTGCACCACATGGGAGACCTGTAAGAAGCTCCAGGCTCCTGGCTTTGGGTTGGCTCCAGTGGATGGAAGATCTTTTTGTCTTTCCTCTCTGTGAATCTGCCTTTCCAGTTTAAGAAAAAAAAAGTAAATAAATTTTTTAGGAAAAAAAAAAAAAACTCTAAAGTTTCCCCCAGTTTTCCACATGCAAATTCGCAAGTACTGTTCAGAGGCCACTGTTTGGCAAACCGTAACCACACAAGCCTGGGGACTCCCGAGCCAGCATGGCAGAAAGGGAGGTCTAAGCAGGCGTCCCTCTGCAGCTCTGAGCTCAGAAAACAAGTGGCCCATACTCCTTGGACCTTGGCAACTGACCTGGCTGGCACTTCCAGGTAACAGTGACAGAAATGGCCAGCGCCTTGTCCGCAATCGTCGGTCGGACACCCAGCGTGAGTTCTTAGTTCCTGACTTTGGCCCAGTCCTGTGGATGAGAGATCTCTTTGCCTCTCAAATAAGTAAATTTTTTTTTTTTTTATAAAGTACTTCATTTTGGAGCTGGTGTTATGGGATGAGTAAGCTACCACTTGCAATGCTTCCATCCTGTACGAGCACTACAAGCCCTGGCTGCTCCACTTCCCATCCAGATCCTGCTAATGACCTGGGGAAGCAGCAGGCGTCCTGAGCGTTTGGGCTCCAGCCATTCATGTGCTGTGCGAGACCTGGAGGAAGCCTCGGGCTTCAGCACTGGCCACTACAGCTACCTGGGAAGGGAGTGAACCAGCAGACGGGAGCTAGGTCTCCCCTTAGAGAAGAATTACTCTTTCAAATGAATCCATTCTTCAAAACAAGTGCTTTATTTTTAGTGTGTTTATGAGGGCCTTCTGAGAGCCCCAAATCATATAGCCGTGGGTGAATTGGTCATACACGAAACATGGCCTCCTTTTCTGATATTTTTATTTATTTATTGGAAAGCCAGATATACAGAGAGGAGGAGAGACAGAGAGGAAGATCTTCCATCTGTTAATTCACTCCTCAGTGGCCGCCACGGCTGAAGCTGAGCCAATCTGAAGCCAGGAGACAGGAGCTTCTCCCGGGTCTCCCACACATGTGCGGGGTCCCAAGGCTCTGGGCTGTCCTTGACTGCTTTCCCGGGCCACAAGCAGGGAGCTGGATGGGAAGTGGAGCAGCTAGGATTTGAACTGGCGTGCATATGGGATTCTGGCGCATGCAAGGTGAGGAGTTTAGAAGCAAGGCTAAGGCACTGGGCTCAGCTAAGATCCTATTTGGCTTATGGACTTGCTTCTGCATCCCACACCCACGACTCAGACTGTAACCTCAGGCTACATCAGTTTTACTGTCAGTGGCTTAAAATTAGAATGTCTACATTAACTAAGTAATTTACAGCTTTCTGTCTGTCCAACATATTCAGAGATGTACCACCCTCTAGTGGTGAGTTGACACATTAAGAAACATGTTGTTGGGGCTGGCACCGTGGCTCACAGGCTAATCCTCTACCGGCAAGCGCTAGCATGCTATATGGGTGCCAGTTCGTGTCCTGGCTGCTGCACTTCCCATCCAGCTCTCTGCTTTTGGCCTGGGAAAAGCAGTGAAGGATGGTCCAAGTCCTTGGCACCCCGCACTCATGCGGGAGACCCAGAAGAAGCTCCTGACTCCTGGCTTCAGATTGGCTCAGCTGCAGCCACTTGGGGAATAAACTAGTGGATGGAAGATCCGACGGTCCTTCTCTCTGTAAAGCTGCCTTTCCAGTAAAAATGAATAAATCTTTAAGAAAAAAAAATGCTGCGTATGTGTGGAGCCTATGAATCTACAGATCCTGACTTCTCACTTCAACCCATCTCACTGCACGCTCCTGATGATGTTTATCTCCTCAGAAGTTCCACTTTTCTAACATTAATGTCATCTTTCTGATGTCACGCTTTAACTCAGAGGTGATAGAAAATTATTCTGTAAAATGTATCAATCAACACTTTGGTGTTAGTGGGGTCTACAGAGTGGGTCAGAAAACTAGGAAGGGGAGCCGTGTGGCAGTGCATGTCAGCATGCGGCTTCCTGGGCCAGCATCCATCGCTGCAGTGCTAGTTTGAGTCTAGGCTATTCCACTTCCAATCCAGCTTCCTGCTAATGTACCTGGAAGGCAGCTGAGGTTGGCCCAAGCGCTTGGGGTCCTGCCCCCTGGGAGGGAGTAGAAGGGGGGGAAGCTCCTGGCTCACAGCTTCAGTCTGGTCCATTCCTGGTGTTGCAGGCACCTGGGGGAGAGAAACAGCACATGGAAGATATGTCTCTGCTTGTCTTTTTTGTTTTTAAATATTTCTTTATTTTTATTGGAAAGTCAGATATACAGAGAGGAAGAGCTTTCATCCGTTGATTCACTCCCGACGTAGCGGCCACAGCGGCCAGAGCTGAGGCAATCCAAAGCCAGGAGCCCGGAGCCTCTTCTCTGGGACTCACACATGGATGCAGGGTTGCAAGGCCTTGGGCTGTTCTTGACGGCTTTCCGAGGTCACAATCAGGGAGCTGGATGAGAAGCAGGGCTGCCAGGATCAGAACCAGTGCCCATATGGGATGCTGGCATGTGTAAGGTGAGGACTTTAGCTGCTAGGCTCTTGCGCCGGCCCAATACATTCCCAACTGCCGACAAGCAAGAGGAGGCATGCTTACACTCAGAGACACATTCCCAGTCAGCTCACCCCGGCTTAGCAGCAGGTCCCAGAGCTGCACTCTGCCCCATTCTTATTCCCCTACTCAAGAAGAGCTTGCACAGATTCTGGCAAAGTTCGCATCATTCTACTCCGCTGCCAGCCACGAATGCCCCTGGTCCTCACAGGTAACTGTGACACAAGGGCACTCTCCCTCGCCAGCATTAATCAATAAGCTCATTTCTTGGCATCCAGAATCAGTCAACAGGGTGCAGCCTGGTGGCTGATACGCTCCCCTCCAGAGTACTTCGTCCTAGTACTGCAGTGCTGAGGGAAGCAGCGGGGATGGCTCCAGCCCCCCGAGGAGACCCTGCGCTGTGTTCTTGGCTCCTGACCCCAGCCTGGTACCAAACCCCAGCCCCCGAGAGCATCTACAAAGAGAATCTCTCAGTGTATCTCACTGCCATTGAATAACTTCAAAACAAAATCCAGTCAATTGAGAAACGTTAAGATTTATTTTTGATAATCACCAGACAAGTAATGTGAATAAGGCACATTTTCCAACAGCCGTAAGAAACAAAAGCAATCATGGTTACATAAGAAAAAATACCAGGGTGTCAGTCGGGCACGGATTCTGGGAAAGCCCATTTTCTTGGTTAAGTACAAAAGAGAAAGATTCAGTTAAGTTAAAAAAAATTTGGTCAGATGGCTGCATAGGCGGGCTGGTGAACTACCATCATCTCACAGGCCGCGTCTGCTACAGGCTGCCATCAGAACTCATGTTTCCGCTCTCTAACAAAGCCACAGGAAGCAACCCAGGACTGTCCAAGCCACCACTGCTGTGCTGCGCAGCAGTGGACAGGACAGTGGGTGAGCGCTGTGCGCCTCTGCCGACCAGCACCAGTCTGGGGCCACCAAGCATGCCATGTGTCACCACCTACTGGTTCCAAAATTAGAGAAGTGGATAGCAGCACTAAACACCATCAGAGAGATGAACTCCCTGGCACTTCTCTGCTACATCCTGAAAGCCGCCTGGGAAACCTAAATCCCACCCCCCCCCCAAGGAAAAAGAAAACTCTAGCCCGAAGACACTTTCTGTTTGTTTCCACAACTTTGTTACTACTCAAGAAATGATTGATATTGATATAAAAGAAAATACAGGTCATTGTGTAGTTGTAATCTAACGAATTTAGGAATCAGGTATGGTTATCATATCCTCACATTTGTCTAAGTCAGAAAAACAAAGCACCCACTGCAATGATGAAAGATGAACTACACGCCCAAAGGGTAATTTTTAAAACTTAAAACCTTTAAATAGAAATGAACCCAAGAGTACATTAGGTAACAGATTTTAAACATTCGTCATTTTAAAAAATAGTTGTATGCTTTAAAAATAATCATCTTATTCATGAGAAGACTTGGCTAATTCACTGCTTTTGAAAGGCCTCTTGAAATGGTGGACAGAAAATTGACAACACTCTTAGCTGATTGCACTTACACAGGGAAGGGCAAGGGTTTCTGAGAAAGACTGAAGAGTAAAAAAAAAGAAGGAAAGAAACAAGAGAGCTGTGACATTTAGGAGGTTTTTCAGTTATATCGGGAACAAACGATGTATGAAGAAACATTCTTTGCACTGTCCTGGGACTCCCTGGCAGGTGTCTGTGAATTCTCACATGGGTTCCTTCACACATGTGAGGCAGCGCTGGTCCACAGGCCAACACAACAGTTCTGCAAGGCACCGCTGGCACCAGGTGAGGTGACGCTGGCACGGAAGGAGGAGAACTCCAGAGAAGCATTCAAATGGACTGGACTCAGAGTTTCTTCAATTTCCTCTCACTTTACACTGCATCGACACCATTCGGTGTATTCGTATTCAGCTCTTCTCTCAAACCCAACCCAAGATTCTGAGGAAGTTCCCAATGTAGATTATTTCTCTAGTACCCCACCCCTCTCCCCACGGAATTAAGCACAACTTCAGGCTTTGGTTAAAGCAGATTTACATACTTTTCCTGTGCTGGATATTTTCAACAAGAATTCCCATACCTCTGTCAATGTTTTGGATATGCATAAAGATCCTATTTCTTAGTGTTTCCTGAAATTCTCCTACATTTTGATCATCACCTCTTTAAAAGAACATGCGTGCCTGTGCGTGCTCTCATAGGGGAGAGACCAAGATGCAGCTGAACCATCACAGGATCCTGGTAGCGGTCCATGTAACGGAACAGTCAGACAGATCTGCTGCTCTCAAGCTCCTTCCACACAAGTTCTGCTTTCAGAACTCATCCACAACGACTGTCTCCTGAAATCACAAAATGTGGCCATGAACAATCAATACCAGCACTGCCAACGTCTCGAAATCTGTCATTTCTACTTTTTCTAGTTCTAGTATCACTTGCACTTCTCTATGAACCTACTGGTACTTCTAACTGCTTGGCCAAGAAATGAGCTACATTCAAATGAAGCACATGTCCCCCAGAGAGGCCGGCCGATGCTCATCACAGGTATAAAATTCCGCTCAGGGCGACAGAAAGGATGATGATCAGAAGTAGACAAGAGCATCAGAAACACGCCGGGAAATGCTAGCTTACACATTCTGCCGTTCACTTAAAAGTCCTCCTCTTTCATAAATAGTGCATCCCGACCATAAGTCCTACTTCTTCCTGCTTGTTTTAAAACATTCATTTTTTTCCCCCACCCAGCTCTCCTGCCCGCTGCCAAGGGGATGGGCCCTGGCGCGGCGGGGAGACGCGCTGCTCGGGAGAATTCAAGGCAGCAGCAGTTAGGATGCAGCTCATGGCTTTCCCCACTCCCTGTCCCTACACGCGGTCTTGATTTCAGGCTTGAAGGGCAGTTTGAGCGTGGCTGCCGTCGCTTCAGCTCATTAACGGAATAGAAGCGTGGTGCTTTACAGGTAGTACGCAGCTACACAGTTGAGGGTTTGAATTGTTCTTTCATTTTCTCAGACTATACTCCAAAGTGCAAATTAGTGTAAGTAAATCCCACGCGAAGGTTATTATTAAAGTGAGTCTTCAAATACTTAACGTGATGTAAACTTTTTTTTAAAATCACTGCCTCACACCCTAATTACTTTCCTCTGAGTCCAAGCACTACCCAAAACGGCTAGTTAGAACATCACTCAAGACAAAGTCACTCGGTGGTCCTGAAAAGACTCTTCCTATGCAATGATTCTGTTCCTTTGGGATTAAAGACAATTCCTTAGTTCTGTAGACCCCGCTGTATCTCGATTGGCTTTGTCAAAGGCAAGATGCGGGGAGGGAGAAGGGCGGTAGTCAGCATTGTGGAAGCTTCGATCACAAAGAACCTCGCCAAGAAAGTGAGAGAGGAGCCCTTTTTTTCCAACCATAAGCTGTGCTAATCTAGCCCCTTCCTGACAATGCCCTGCGCTGCCCTCACACCAGGCAGCCCGGCCTCCCGCGCCCTCACACCAGGCAGCCCTGCTCTTCGATGCCCCTCACGGGCTGAACTGGCAGCACAAGGTGTGAGATGCGGCTCCAGAGCCCGCTCAGCTTGTCCGAGTCCATGTGGCTGAAGGAGCTGGGGGTGTCTGCATTGGTGAACTTGGCCCAGAGCAGATCTCTCACTTTTTCTTCTGTTTCTCTGGGGCTCACGCTTGCTTCTAATGTCTCTTCCTCTAGCAGCACGGTCAGGACCAGGGCCACGTCTTTAAAGGCCGCATTCTTGTGGTCACAATATTTGTAGAAAATCAAGGCGGAGCCCGCGGGCAGGGATTCAAAATGGTGGATCACGGCAGCCTTCTGGCCGTTCTCGAATCCCGAGCTCAGCTCCAGGTCAACCCAGAGCTTGACGGTGTCACTGTCCTGAGAGCTCCTCTGGGCCCCGTCGAGCTGAATGGCCGAGCCCTTGTGGGAAGACGTGTAGGCGTCGGCCACGTGGTAGCTCAGGCACCGGAGGGTCTCCCTCCCGTCCCGGGCCGCCGTGAAGATGATGGTGGCCGGCTCGCTGGGGTCTGAGGAGTTGAGATGCTTCTGAAGAAACTTTCGCCCTCTCTGCCACACGAAGGGACTCTGGCCCGGAAATTTCTCTTTTAGCTGGCTGAACTGAGTCAAGAAGGCCTCCAAGGCTGGGTTCCGGGGCACCTGCTGCGCTGGAGAGGAGTAGTAGCTCTGGACTCTCAGCACCAGGACCCCAACCAGGAAGCTGAGAAGGATGCGCCCTGTCGGAGGAGGAGGACACAAGGAATCGTGTCAGAGGGCAGGTGCAGATAGCAAGCCTCGACAGGTTTTCCTCCCAGTGCTAAGTTCCCCTTTGCCTAAAGCCATCTAAGCTTTCTGCTATCAAAGGTGACCAGAAATTCTAATTTCACATTCTCAGATTTAACATAAGGGGCCTTCATTGTGTTAATTGTTGGTGGAAAATGCATATTATGAAAGGAAAATCTATGCATACATTTTTAAAGCTTTTTTTTTTCTTACAGCAAACGAAACATCTTCTAGTTTCACTTTTCCATGGGTTCTTTTTTAATTCTCCTGTGTTTCACATTCTAATTTATGATGTGACACAGACATGAGCTCTCCAGATTGTCTTCTTTCTGCCGAGAGCAGACCAATAGGAATCAAAACTTAAAACTGCCAGTTAAAACCATAATATCTTAACTAAAATGACAGTTTCAGGTTCTTGTAAGGCCATCCTACTGTGAGAATTCCCACTTTATTTGTAAGCACTGCCAAATATTAGCAAACAGCCCAAATGAAAAATCCCTGATCTTTACTGCTCTATCCTACAACTTACTAGCAAACACTAACATTAGACAGAATGTGTTATACGTATTAAACGTATATTACTACAATGTTAAAGCTGTTCCACCTGCTAACTTTCGAGGCATGCTCACACAGGACTTCTGAATCAGCTCTATGGAGAAGCCACTATGTTCTCACCGTAGTTCCGGAAATCCTTCTTCATCTTCCTTCTATCCTGCTTTTTGCCCTGCTTTTTCACTTCCTCTAATTGTGTTTCTTGTTCATGACTTCCGGTCCCTGGGTGGAAAGGAATGAGAGCTGCAGACAGCACACAAAGGCAGACGGGGCGCCCCCTTTCTTCTCCCCCCACCCCCATTCTGCTTGGCCAAGATGATTCTTATACTGTCTCAAGTTTTCTTTCATGAAAAGCAGTACTACACAGTATCTGCCTCTGCTGTATTTTAAGTTCTTTCCCAGACACTGCACTTTTAACACAGGATTTTCTTTACTACCAACAGTGAGTCTAAATACTGATGAAATTCTGACAGCAGATATACGATCACATTTATTCACTATGAAGAAGGTATCAGCGAGGCCCATCATTGCGGCCCGCTGCGTAAGGTCAGTGCCTGTGGCAGCAGCACCGCAGAGGCAGCAGCTGCAGGCCTGGGAAAGGCAGCACAAGAGGGCCCAGATGTTCAGGCCTCTGGCACATGCGTGGGACCTATAAGATGCTCCATGGTCCTGGCTCCAGCCTGGTTCAGCCCTGAATGCTGTACCGATTGAGGAAGAGAACCAGCACACAGAAGCTCTAAATCTGCATCTCAAACAAATAAATCAATCTTCTGAAAATCGCTTCTACATGCACTGACTACCAGATACATGCAATGAATGCTAAGGCCAGAGCCACCGCAGCCACTAGGGCGAGTCTACTTTAAAGCGGAATGAACAAAATGTACATCGGGGATCAGTCCGGATATGACAGCTGTATCATCTTAGACTGTAATCAAAGGAAAAGCCTAAAGCACTTCATCTTGAGATTATAGTTCTCTAACAATCTCGCACAAGGCTCAGCATGATAGCTCAATGGCTAAATCCATGCTCTGCATGCAACAGGATCCTTAAGTGCCAGTTCATGTCCTGGCTGCTCCACTTCCCATCCAGCTCCCTGCTGGTGGCCTGCAAAAGCAGTCAAGGACAGTCCAAAGCCTTGGGACCCTGCACCTGCGTGGGAGGCCTGCATATGCTCCTGCCTCCTGGCTTTGGATCGGCTCTGCACTGGCTGGTGTAGCCACTTAGAGAGTAATCCATGGATGGAAAATCATTCCCTCTGTCTCCCCTTCTCTATGTAAGTCTGCATTTCCAGGAAAAATAAATAAATCTTTAATAACAGCCAAGACCCCCTGCCTTGTGCTATGTGCTCAGTAACCACACACCTGGTACCTGAGAGCGCATTCTCTTACCTGGAACAGGCTGTCGCCTCCTCAGTGGGTCCCGGCTGTCCAGCCCTGCACTGGGCTGACCAGGACCCTGGACCTCGTGCGAGGCTCCAGCAGGCAAGGCCACAGCAGCTCCTGTCTCAGTGCTCACTTCCTCACGGAGGCTTGCAGAGCCGCCCATTAAGTGTGCACCTGCTCCTCCTGCTGGGACGCTCAGACAAATGTTAGCATCTGGATCTGAGGGTTCTTCACCCAGCTTTCCTGCAAGGAGGCCATGTCCTTGCTCTCCATCCTGGCACCTCGGCTTGTTCTCATCTTCTCCTTGACCCTCGGGGTGCTCTAGGAGACCCGTTTGACCCGGGCCCGCCGACGACTCAGCTGCGGCCACACTGGGTGGGCTTTCTCTCTCCACCTCCTGGAGGTCTGCAGCAAGGCAGGGTGAAGACGGTGGGGTCTGTGCCTCTTCAGTGGCACCTGCTGTGACTGCAGTCCCCTGCATCGGAAGACTGACTGGTGGCCCGTTTTCCAAATCCTTCTGAGAGTCTACTGGAATAAACATTCATAATTTCTATTTAAAAAGTCGTCCTCTCACCTCCCTCTTGGGTTATCACTCCCACTGGAGACCAGGACTGGGGCAGACCTGGCTGAGAAGAAAGGTACCAACCAGCATATATATGGGCTGGACAGGGGGCTGCTTGGGTTGAACTAGGCTTCAACGCCCATTAACAGGTACAAGTGCCAAGTGGGATGTGGGACACACGGGACCAGCTGGCTGTACATACTGGCAAGCACGGGAACCAGGGTAGGGGGCGGTCGTGTGTGGGGTTGTTGTGGGTTGCTCCAACTAGGCTGTAGCTCCCACTGGTTTATGTGAGGGCTGAGTGTGTGCTGGGCAGAATCAGGCTGGACTGCAACATCCACTGGTTCTAGGGGCAGACAGGGCTGAAAACAGAACCGACCCAGCAATTGCAACCACCAGCTGGGCAGCTGGGTGATGGACTGTGCCAGACCCTGTACTGGCAAGCACACACAAGAATCAGGTCTGGGATCACCTCAGACAGTTTCTTTGGGGATCTCCCCAGTCGAACTGCCGGACTCAGAACCCCAACCATGAAGAGAATTGCAGGTTCCATGGTCTGCCATGGCGTGCAAGTGCAGTGGACAGCATACCCAGGTGCACATGGAGGATACGGCAGTACATCGGAACCTGCAGAGGACACCTGGTACCACAGCAGAGGATGGAGGACAGAACAAATCAATCAACTACCCCAGCCAATGTTGGCAGTGAAAATCTGGGCCAACGGAGACTCTAAGGTGTGCTATGTCAGCCAGTGGATTCTGGAGAGATTTCATTGTGCTTGGAATGGCGAGACTGGCAGCAATTCATAATACTTGAATTACCTAAACAACCTGAGCAGGACCCTCAGAGAATGCCCCACATCGGAGTCCTACGATGGGTTGGAGGCTGGGTTAGCCTTCTCTCTTTATCTCCCTTTGATCCCAGATAAAGAAATAACAATAAAGTGGAAATAATGTGGAAAATATAAAGAAAAATAGGCATTTTCCTGTAGCCCTTGACCCTTTGTGCCCTAATCATCTATGTAGATTGTCAAAAATAAAGGGGAAAAAAAAGTCTTCCTCCCATTTTCATAATTTAACAAAGTCCCTGCTTAACTATTACTTTCATTTTTACAAGGCACTCTTCCTAAACATTATTTCTTTTGGCTAACCATAAAAGATAATTAATATTATCACCTTGTAATTAAATCTAATAAAGCAAATTGGAGTGTTCAAATCAACTTTTGGGGATATCAAATATGCCTTCATCTCAAATAAAATGCAACGAACAGGCCTAATACAATGGCTCAATGGCTAAATCCTTAAGTGCCGGGATCCCATATGAGTGCCAGTTTATGTCCTGGCTGCTCCACTTCCCATCCAGCTCCCTGCTTGTACCCTGCAAAAGCAGTCAAGGACAGTCCAAAGCCTTGGGACCCTGCACCTGTGTGGGAGGCCTGCATATGCTCCTGCCTCCCGGCTTTGGATCGGCTCTGCACTGGCTGGTGTAGCCACTTAGAGAGTAATCCATGGATGGAAAATCATTCCCTCTGTCTCCCCTTCTCTATGTAAGTCTGCATTTCCAGGAAAAATAAATAAATCTTTAATAACAGCCAAGACCCCCTGCCTTGTGCTATGTGCTCAGTAACCACACACCTGGTACCTGAGAGCGCATTCTCTTACCTGGAGCAGTCTGTCGCCTCCTCAGTGGGTCCCGGCTGTCCAGCCCTGCACTGGGCTGACCAGGACCCTGGACCTCGTGCGAGGCTCCAGCAGGCAAGGCCACAGCAGCTCCTGTCTCAGTGCTCACTTCCTCACGGAGGCTTGCAGAGCCGCCCATTAAGTGTGCACCTGCTCCTCCTGCTGGGACGCTCAGACAAGTGTTAGCATCTGGATCTGAGGGTTCTTCACCCAGCTTTCCTGCAAGGAGGCCATGTCCTTGCTCTCCATCCTGGCACCTCGGCTTGTTCTCATCTTCTCCTTGACCCTCGGGGTGCTCTGGGAGACCCGTTTGACCCGGGCTTGCCGACGACTCAGCTGCGGCCACACTGGGCGGGCTTTCTCTCTCCACCTCCTGGAGGTCTGCAGCAAGGCAGGGTGAAGACGGTGGGGTCTGTGCCTCTTCAGTGGCACCTGCTGTGACTGCGGTCCCCTGCATCGGAAAACTGACTGGTGGCCCGTTTTCCAAATCCTTCTGACAGTCTACTGGAATAAACATTCATAATTTCTATTTAAAAAGTTGTCCTCTCACCTCCATCTTGGATTATCACTCCCACTGGAGACAAGGACTGGGGCAGACCTGGCTGAGAAGAAAGGTACCAACCAGCATATATATGGGCTGGACAGGGGGCTGCTTGGGTTGAACTAGGCTTCAACGCCCATTAACAGGTACAAGTGCCAAGTGGGATGTGGGACACACGGGACCAGCTGGCTGTACATACTGGCAAGCACGGGAACCAGGGTAGGGGGTGGTCGTGTGTGGGGTTGTTGTGGGTTGCTCCAACTAGGCTGTAGCTCCCACTGGTTTATGTGAGGGCCGAGTGTGTGCTGGGCAGAATCAGGCTGGACTGCAACATCCACTGCTTCTAGGGGCAGACAGGGCTGAAAACAGAACCGACCCAGCAATTGCAACCACCAGCTGGGCAGCTGGGTGATGGACTGTGCCAGACCCTGTACTGGCAAGCACACACAAGAATCAGGTCTGGGATCACCTCAGACAGTTTCTTTGGGGATCTCCCCAGTCGAACTGCCGGACTCAGAACCCCAACCATGAAGAGAATTGCAGGTTCCATGGTCTGCCATGGCGTGCAAGTGCAGTGGACAGCATACCCAGGTGCACATGGAGGATATGGCAGTCCATCGGAACCTGCAGAGGACACCTGGTACCACAGCAGAGGATGGAGGACAGAACAAATCAATCAACTACCCCAGCCAACTGTTGGCAGTGAAAATCTGGGCCAACGGAGACTCTAAGGTGTGCTATGTCAGCCAGTGGATTCTGGAGAGATTTCATTGTGCTTGGAATGGCGAGACTGGCAGCAATTCATAATACTTGAATTACCTAAACAACCTGAGCAGGACCCTCAGAGAATGCCCCACATCGGAGTCCTACGATGGGTTGGAGGCTGGGTTAGCCTTCTCTCTTTATCTCCCTTTGATCCCAGATAAAGAAATAATAATAAAGTGGAAATAAAGTGGAAAATATAAAGAAAAATAGGCATTTTCCTGTAGCCCTTGACCCTTTGTGCCCTAATCATCTATGTAGATTGTCAAAAATAAAAGGGAAAAAAAGTCTTCCTCCCATTTTCATAATTTAACAAAGTCCCTGCTTAACTATTACTTTCATTTTTACAAGGCACTCTTCCTAAACATTATTTCTTTTGGCTAACCATAAAAGATAATTAATATTATCACCTTGTAATTAAATCTAATAAAGCAAATTGGAGTGTTCAAATCAACTTTTGGGGATATCAAATATGCCTTCATCTCAAATAAAATGCAACGAACAGGCCTAATACAATGGCTCAATGGCTAAATCCTTAAGTGCCGGGATCCCATATGAGTGCCAGTTCATGTCCTGGCTGCTCCACTTCCCATCCAGCTCCCTGCTGGTGGCCTGCAAAAGCAGTCAAGGACAGTCCAAAGCCTTGGGACCCTGTACCTGCGTGGGAGGCCCGCATATGCTCCTGCCTCCCGGCTTTGGATCGGCTCTGCACTGGCTGGTGTAGCCACTTAGAGAGTAATCCATGGATGGAAAATCATTCCCTCTGTCTCCCCTTCTCTATGTAAGTCTGCATTTCCAGGAAAAATAAATAAATCTTTAATAACAGCCAAGACCCCCTGCCTTGTGCTATGTGCTCAGTAACCACACACCTGGTACCTGAGAGCGCATTCTCTTACCTGGAGCAGTCTGTCGCCTCCTCAGTGGGTCCCGGCTGTCCAGCCCTGCACTGGGCTGACCAGGACCCTGGACCTCGTGCGAGGCTCCAGCAGGCAAGGCCACAGCAGCTCCTGTCTCAGTGCTCACTTCCTCACGGAGGCTTGCAGAGCCGCCCATTAAGTGTGCACCTGCTCCTCCTGCTGGGACGCTCAGACAAGTGTTAGCATCTGGATCTGAGGGTTCTTCACCCAGCTTTCCTGCAAGGAGGCCATGTCCTTGCTCTCCATCCTGGCACCTCGGCTTGTTCTCATCTTCTCCTTGACCCTCGGGGTGCTCTGGGAGACCCGTTTGACCCGGGCCCGCCGACGACTCAGCTGCGGCCACACTGGGCGGGCTTTCTCTCTCCACCTCCTGGAGGTCTGCAGCAAGGCAGGGTGAAGACGGTGGGGTCTGTGCCTCTTCAGTGGCACCTGCTGTGACTGCGGTCCCTTGCATCGGAAGACTGACTGGTGGCCCGTTTTCCAAATCCTTCTGACAGTCTACTGGAATAAACATTCACAATTTTAAAAACTGTTCTCCTGGTTTTGAGGTGCACCACAGGGTAGATTCTGGTGTCCTGAGCCCTTATGTGAGGAAGCAGGCGAGCTCAGGTCACCTGGCATGGGTTCTGTGGCCCACATGCTCTTGTGGGTGCTGGGTTTTTGAGTCCCAGGAGTAGGGAATCTTGTTGGACTGGGTTGCCTGGCTCTGGTCATCGGACCTGCCCATGAGCAAAACAGGCGGAACAGGAGACACAGACCCTGACGCACAGGAAGAATATGTCAGCTGATTTGGGACTGCAGCCGAGGAAGGAGCACAGCAAACTGGACAACTACCCCTCAAAGGAGGACAGGAAAAGCCCGGGTGAATGCAGACTTGAGGTCAACTGTGTCAGCTCATGGACATGTTGAGGGTTTCCTCACCTCTGGATCAGTGAAATCAACAGTGTTTCATAACTATCCAAACCACTGGGTCAGAACCCCCAGAACATGCAATACATCGGGACCCTAGGTTGATACTAGGTGGCTGTTCCCCATCCCTATGTACTGGGACTTTTGGGAGGTTGGGTGTGGCTCCCCACTTTAACTCTCCCCTATTCCCAGAGGCAAGAAGAAATAATTTGGAAACAATGCTTTCATCCACATTTCTATTACCCCAATCCTTCGCACCATGGTTAATCCTGTAATCACCATCATGAAAAAAATGTAAGCCTTATTTTATAATTTAATAAGGTCCTTGATTAACTATTTATGGTTTAGAAGGTACTCTTCCTGGGCCTTGGGCGGTAGCCTAGCGGTTTGAAGGCCTCGCCTTGTACACTCCAGGATCCCCTGTGGATGCATGTTCTAATCCCAGTAGCCCTACTTCGCATCCAGCTCCCTGCTTGTTGCCTGGGAAGGCAGTGGAGGACGGCCCAAAGCCTTGGGACCCTGCACCCACGTGGGGGACACGGATGAAGCTCCTGGCTCTGGCTTCAGATTGGCTCAATTCTGGCTGTGACAGTTACTTGGGAAGTGAATCATCGGACGGAAGATCTTCCTCCCTGTCTCTACTCCTCTCTGTATATCTGACTTTCCAATTAAAAAAATAAATAAAGGTACTCTTCCTAAATATTACTTCTCTTGACCTTCATGAAAGATAATTAAAGCCAATTTATCACTGTATAATTAAATCTAATAAATTACACTCACGTAAACTAATTTGAAGTGACCAAATCAACTTTTGGTGGTTTCAAATAGATCTTCTTATCCAATAAAAGGCAATGAGCATCAATGGCAGCTAAAGATTCCTGGGAAAGGCTGACTCAGACTGACGACAAAGCACTGAGTCATCTGAGCATCACAGAAACAGGAACAACCAGACAGCAGCAACAGGATGACCACTACGCTACCCACGAGACCGCTCAACAACTGCAACCTGATGAGCTTCAGAGCTCAGCACCAGCTTCCAGGGAACACGGACAGAGCAATGTGCCCAAGCACAACCCAGAATGTGGGAAACTCCAAGGAACCAAACACTCACGCTCCTTTAAGAAGGCAAGAAGCACGAATGACCAGGAAAGGGTAAAGGGCACGGTGGTCTGTTGATGAAGAGACCCCTATGAGCAGTACGAGTTGGCTGTTTCACTTGTTCTCTTTTTAATGTGTCTATATTTATTTGAAGGGCAAATGTATAGAAAAAAGGAATGACAAGGAGACAGAGATACAGTGAGATATTCCACCTGCTGTTTCACTCCCCAAATGGCCACAATGGTTGGAGTTGAGGCGGTCAGAAGCCAGGATCCAGGGGCCTCTTCTGGGTCTCCCATGATCCACCCTTTGCAGCAGCCAGCCAGATCTGGCAGTGGAGTAGCAAGGACCCATGTGCCAGTAGGTGGAGGAGGAACCTGTTGAGCCACTGTGCTGGCCCCACGGCTGCTCTACTTCTTATTCAACTCCTTGTAATGGAGGACCCACATGGGACACCAAGATGAAACTGCTGGCTCCTGGTTCACCCTAGAATGTGACCAAGGAAGTTCTCTCTCTGTCTCTCCCTCTTGCTCTGCAATTCCTTCAAGTAAATAAAAAAAAAAAAAAAAAAAAAAAAAAAAAAAAAAGGGCAGCCCAGCTTGTTAAGTCTGCCTGCAATGTCAACATCCCATATAAACACCATTTTAATTCCTGGCTGCTCCACTTTTGATCCAGGTCACAGCTAATACACCTGGGCAAACAGCAAAAGATGGCCCAAGTTCTTGGGCCTCTGCCGCCCACATGAAGACGTGGATGGAGCTCCAAACTCCCCCTAGGCCTGACCCACCCCTAGACACTGTGGCCAGTCAGAGACTGCCTTGCGCTGCAATTGCCTTTCTAATCTGCAAACGCATCTTTTTAAAAAAAACAAAACAGGGCCCAGCAGCATGGCCTAGTGGCTAAAATCCTTGCCTTGAATGTGCCGGGATCCCATATGGGCACCAGTTCTAATCCTGGCAGCTCTGCTTTCCATCCAGTTCCCTGCTTGTGGCCTGGGAAAGCAGTCAAGGACAGCCTAAAGCCTTGGGACCCTGCACCGGTGTAAGAGACCTGGAGGAGGTTCCTGGATCCTGGCTTCAGA